GAAAGCTGGTTTTGGAATTTTGTTTAAGAGTTGAGAATTTAAGATGTTCTTTGTAATGTCTACAGCAGGTAAAGAGCTTAAAAACTGTCATCTGTTCTTTAACGGTATATCAGTATCGCTGCTTTTCTTTTAAGGAGACTATCTGGTGACAATTGAAGAAAAAAGCAAAGCAACTTTCCTAAGAGCATATGTGAACTGGAGATGCATGTCTGCAGGGAGTTCTCGTGTTTGTGTTCGGATGATTGGTCACAAGATGGAAGAGTCATACAGTGAAGCCTTAAAAGAACAGATGTCGATTGTGGAAATGCCACTTTCAGATCCTCCGCTGTGCATTTCATGTTGTCCTGTAAATGGAGATCTTCTTGTGGGCTGCAAAAATAAACTAGTCATGTTCTGTTTGAAATACCTGGTCATAAACCAGAATTTGACTGTGTTAGACTTTGAACGCTCCTTAATTTTACACATTGATAACCTGATTCCTAAAAATTGCATTTTGTGCCAGACATATAGCCATAACAACAGAGCTGGATGTTCTGATCCTGCAATTAGAACTGATCCAGCAAAGTGCAGGCAGGACAGAGCAGTGTGCACATGGAGCTAGTAAACTAGAAAAGCCTGTGGGTGGAGGTAAGGTATTTTATGTTTTTTACTTCCAAGAATCTGTTAACTGATTCCTGTTATCCTCAAGGTAGACTCAAACAAGGTCATTGCCCCTCAGAAAATATTTCCAGATCATCTTAGGACTGTCAGCTGAATATTCTAGCGCGTGAAGGGTTGTGCCACCTGCAGTTGGAGGTAACACTTAAACAAATATGCCATTGTTCTGCAGACATTTTTAGGATAGTGCAACCTCTACAGACATAGAATTAGGCCCCTCTTTTGGGGTGCCACCATAGGCCAAATCAAAGCAGTAGTAGTTCAGTGTGCTATGTTCAGAAAAATTATTCTATCAGTATCACTGCCCAAATAACTGTCTCTCCTAAGGGACAACTGGGAGACCAAATGGAAGAAGCATCACGTGAACCTTGAAATGGACCATGCATACTGGCTTACACATTTAAGAATGCTTCTGTGGCGATGCCTATGCACTTTTGTAACTGTTAGTAGGCTCAGAACATGCATAAATAAGGTGTAAGCAAATACTCCTATTTCAGTCCTTTGTCTTATTCGGGGCTTGCCTTAGAATCCTAGAAATCCCAGAAACAGATTTACTCAGTAGGTTTCATTCCTCTAATCAATTCCCACCTTTCCAAAAGTATCAGATGAATACCAGTGAACCTTAGGAAAATCCTTCATTTATAATTGAAGAAACTTGTAACAGAAAAGGATGGTCTTTTAGAAATGGAAAATACCTACAAACATTTAAAGGTTAATAAGACTTGTCAAATACGGCAAATATAAACTGGAATGTTCTTCACTGAGTGGAGATGGATTTTAATTCAGATGATGGCATCCTGCCCCTGCTTGGTTTTACTACTGAAAACTAAGTAGAAAAGTTCAAATTACTTTCCGGGTGCTGTTAGGATTTGTTTTCCAGAACTTGCTTAAGTAGTTTAGGATGACACAACTTTCTATCATAGCTGACTTTTCCTTCTTAAAACCTCTCCAGCCAAATGACAACATTTTATGATGGCCAGCCATTTGCAGCACAGGTTGCCTTGGACTTGCCTTGTAATGAACAGTTTACCTGTTCTTTCAGAAATCTTGACTCTTGGGCATTGAGACTGTTGAGGCTTAAATGAAGGATTGTTCTCATCTTCTAGCATACCTGTTTTCAAAACCTCATGGTTTGAGGAAGCCAATGCTAGCTGGGTAGCTGTAGTTGGAGTATTTAATCAATGTCGTATCATTTTCTTACTGCTAAATGGAATGGTTTGAACAATTAATATAGCATTTTCATTGTTAAGGTGTGAAAGATGAAGGCTCTTCAGCACATACTTTGCAGCTTGAATTAGATGAGTTCATCGTCTGTCAGAAGCCAGTGGAACTGCTTGGGGAAGAAAGTAAGCTCTGTGAGATACCCGTCACACTGGAATCCACAGAGTTACCTACAGAAGACACAAAGCGCTACCAAGTGCGGTATCTGCTTTTCAGGTATTAGAAATGTATTTTCCCCTTTATGGGTTAATTTACTACAAGAAAACAAAATGAGCTGTTGTTCACGTCTTGTTGAAAGAAAAGTCCTGGTATTTTGACTTCTGGGGGTTTTATAAGGTTGTTTTGGTTGGTTATTTTTGTACTGAAATAATGTGATACAAAAGAAAGCCCATTTTTTTTTAATAGACTAGAGTATCTCAATTGGAAGGGACCTGCAGTGATCATGTAGTCCAACTGCCTGACCACTTCAGGGCTGACCCAATGTTAAAGCATATTATTAAGGGCATTGTCCACATGCTTCTTAAACACTGACAGTCGTGGAGCATCGACCACCTCTCTAGGAAGCCTGTTCCAGTGTTTGTCCACCCTCTCAGTAAAGAAAAGTTTCCTAATGTCAAGCTTGAATCCCTCCTGACTGGCACAGCTTTGAACCTTTCCCAGGCATCCTGTCCGTGGATCCCAGGGAGAAGTGCTCAGCACCTCCCTCCCCACGTCCCTTCCTTGGGAAGCTGCAGGGAGCAATGAGGTCACCCCTCAGCCTCCTTTTCTCCAAAAACCCAGAGTCCTCAGGTGCTCCTCATAGGACATGTCTTCTAGCCCCTTCACTAGCTTAGCTGCCCTCCTCTGGACGCATTCAAGCACCTTCACGTCTTTATTAAATGGTGGGGCCCAGAACTGCCCACAGTACTCCGGGTGAGGCCACACCAGTGCTGAATACAGCAGGTTACTCTCCTCTCTTGACCAGCTGGTTATGCTGTGTGTCATGACCCCCAGGATGCAGTCTGCCCTCTTGGCTGCCAGGGCACACTGCTGGATCCTATTGAGCTGCTGCCATCCAGCACCCCTAGCATTCTGTTGGGCTGGTCTCCGGCAACTCCTCTCCTAGTTTATACTTGTGCATGGCATTACTCCGTCCTAGGTGCAGAAGCTGTCACTTGGACTTGTTCCATTTCATGCCGCTGATGATTGCCCAGTGCTCCAATCTGTCTAGATCTGTCTGCAAGGCCTCTTGTCCCTCAAGAGAGTCAACAGCACCTCACAGTTTGGTATTGTCGGCAAACCTGCTAATGGCGCATTCAACTCCTGTAGCAGATGATTGACCAAAATGTTGAGCAGCACTGGCCCCAGGATTGAGCCCTGAAGAACACTGCTGGTGACCAGTCGCCAGCCAGATGTAGCCCCATTCACTACAACCCTTTGAGCTCTGCTGTGCAGCCAGTTTTTCACCCAGTGCACCATGAACGTGCTCGTCTCACAGCTGGACAACTTTGGGCCTTGCAAATCCTAAGTTTCATTTTATTTCAGGAATGTGAGTAGTTGTTACAATTAAAATAGAATGGAACTTCAGTGGTTTTGCAGATCTAGTGATGATGTTTAATGTCTGCTTTCTTCATACATCCTTGCATGCTGTGAAGAGCATGCGTGGCAGCTTCTCTTGTGATGTAGCAGAAGGGATGGTCTTTTCTCAGCATACGGAACGACAACCATTTAGGTTGGAAGGGACCTCCTGAGACCATCTAGCCCAATACGCCACTCCCTCTCATCTCAAGCAGCTTCAGCTAGAACAGCTTTTCCAGGACCGTGTCTAGTCTGGTTTTGAGTATCTCCACGGATAGGGACTCCACAGTCTCTCTGGGCAACCTGTTCCAGTGTCTGACCACCTGCAGTTTTTGTACTTTCGTGCCGAACTGGCAAAACCAGGTTTTACGCAGCTTATTCTGAAGCAGCTTGTATCAAATTCTGTTATTGTTTAGAGAAGCCTACTTTAAAGGATTACACATGAGAGTGATCAGCAGTGCTGTCTGTGTGACCTTAATCAAGGTACTGCCTTCTGTTTATCTATTCTGCAGCTTTCATCAACTCCAGCTGAAGTGATACCTGAGTACCTCAAAAAAAAAAAAAATTCTCCCTTTCTCCAGCTAGCAAAGAGAGTTTACAGAGTATCTTAAGCACTAAGAAACTGTTCTTTTTATTTTGTTGGTGATCAAAGCCATTAAACTTTTATCCAAAACTGAGGAAGAATTGATGTCACAGTCCAGCAGTGAATTCCAAAGCAAAGCAGGAAAAAGGATGACACATAACAGGAAAGAAAAGTAGGATTGGAGATGGCACCATGTTACATATAGCTCAGTTGAATAAAAAGAGAGGGGAGGGAAAAAGGTTAAATTGAGGTTCAAATCCTGTCTTGCAGTGATCCCAAACTTTTGACATGCATCTTGCAGATGAGCAAAGAAAGAGGATTTTGGTGGCAAAACCTCAAGATAGTTGTCTCTAGCTCTGCCACATGCTTCTTGGCATTGCCATGCTAATTGTATTAGTAGTAGGGTTGCACATTGATCTTGAATATTAAACCATTAGCTATGCCTGTTATAGCTGGTGCTATTTACTTGCCCATAGTCACTCATAGTAATTTCTCACTGAGGTCCTATATTGTTGTTTTGGGATTTTTTTTCTAGACGTTTCACACCCGACCAGTCGCCTTTTGGGTTTTGTGAAGAGACAAAGCTGCACTCTGTTCAACTGCTTCCTGTATACCGGACAGGTAGATGGATATGCATGGGTGCTTTTTTGCCTGTGTCACAGGAGAACCTGGGAAAGGAAGGAGCTTCTTTGTATATTCTGCTTTGTACACTGTTTCTGTATGATTTGTTTTTAAGTGAAGGTCTTTCCTCCCTTTTCAATGACTTAAACTGAGCTTCTATTAACAAAATGTCTGTAAGTTTCTTCAAGTTCTGCATAAACTTTGAACTAAAATAGCAGTTCACACCAAAAGAGGAAGACTAAATCAGCTTTTATCAGTTCTCAACTGATTAATTTTAACATCACAAACCAGACACTCTTCACATTGCATTAATAAAGTTATCCCCAGTGTTATAAGATACTAGGCTGCCTCTCATTAGTCAACAGTGGAAATCAGAGTAGTAAACCTTAATAATCATTAAGATACAGGTTACCTTTCTGCCAGGCTTTAATTAAAACTGCAAGGGATGAGTGCAGATCTTAGGGGTTTACTAATACATGCTAGGTCAAGCCACAGCAGACCCATGGAAAAATTTAATGCTGTATGTTATCTATTGGCTTTACTGACTGCTCACCCAGATTGTGGTGGTTGTCCGTCTGCTGAGTAGCAAAGTCTTAACTGAAGTTGCAGCTGACTCAAGAATGAGCTACTTGCCATTTAAGTCCAGCTACCTTGTCTTATGGGACATGGTTTAGTGTTGGGGCTTGGTAGTGTTAGGATAATGGTTGGGCTTGATGGTCTTCAAGGTCTTTTCCAACCAAAATGATTCTGTGATTCTATGATCTCCTGTGATTTGCAGTCTTTGACAAGAGGGTCTGTAGAATCTGAACACAGCCTTTACCTGCCAAAATGGCTTTATAAATAGGTTCTGCCATTGCCAGCCTTTCTTTCCCTTAAGCGAGGACCTGTATTTTGGTGCGCTGCAGCTCTGGGTGAGCTCATTCCAGCTCACAAGTAGTTGTCTAAGATTGGGCTGATGATTCAATCCATAGATGCTTAGTTGTGATGAATCTGCCAGGACTCTCAGATGCTGTTACACCTATAGAATTTATTCACTAGGTTGTACATCCACGCTTTTGTTAAAAATGCCTCCAAATGAGATGACATACAAATTTTTGGCCTGTACACTGATCTTCTTACTGTTCTCTATACTAGCTACTAACAAAAGCAGTTTGCAACCCGGGGTGGTTTGATAGTATTTTTTAGGCATCAGGCTTGCAAAGGAATTGCCACGTTTTGATTTATGAGGTATATAAAATGACTTTCTTATTGTTACATCTAGGAAGTTCTGTGACAGTCCTTGAAGAAAATGAGAACGAGAGAGAACTACTGAGTCTCTTCTGCTTTTTCTCTTTACCTCATGTTGGATATCTCTACTCTGTTGGGAAGTTAGTAGAACTGATTTCTACTTACCAATATTCAGAGAAGTCTGAGCAGGCAGTTCTCACTCCACAGTTCCTGCACGTCATTACAAGGTACTACATTTATGATATTGCTGATAGTATTGCTACGTTTGTCTGTGCTACTGCACCCCCCTCGCCCCCTATCCTGATACATCCTTCGTGGCCTCCTGGAACTCTCTGGATAGGCTCATGTGGTGGTGCAGCATGCTCTCCTGCTTAGGCTTCAAGGGCCATTTCTACAAAGGAAAAAGATCTGATTCTCTGTAGCTTTGGCTACTTGATTTTTGCAAGTCTTCATTCTTTTCCTTCATCGTTGTGGTTTCTTCTTTCCCTCTAGCGAGAACCTGCAGTGTTTCACAGTGCGGTGCAGTGCAGCTGCAGCTCGTGATGAGGATCCATATATTGATACAACCGTGAAGGTTCACTTCTCTTGTTGTCTCACTAAAAGAATGGGGGTAGTAGTATGGCACTTAGTTTCCTTATGTTTCCTTCTGAAATCCTGTTAGTTTCTATTGGCTGAACCAATAAAATAACATCCACAATTAGTATTTTACTTCAGTCTATCGAATATTATATTTTAATGGTCTGCAAATGTCTCAATCTATTACTGCTGTTTAAGATTCTAGACCATAAGTAGAATGTTTTCAAAAACATCAGAAGCTACAAATCACTCACAAATTTCGTGCTTTGATGTATAAATCTGAATGAAGGGTGCAGAATTTTCTCTTATTGCAGCTGATGATGTGTTTCTCTCTCAGGTGTCCTTGAAAAAACCCAGTTTTTGTAAGAGGAGTGTAGACACTTGAACAAGTCTGCTACCAGATACTTAGTGCATGCTTTTTGGGAGGAGGGCTTTTGATCCTTGGAGGTCTAGATTTTTCCCCTTCCTTAAATTGCTTATCAGTAAAAATCTATCAAATTGTAAAGATTGGGCTATAAGTTAATAAAAATACCAGGAAAGAGAGACTAAAGTGTATTTTAAGTTAGCATTTAAGGATTTCTGTTGAGCCCGTAGACAGCAGACATAAAGAAACCATAGGACAGTAGAAGTATTATAAAATTTTCAAGAGCCAGACGCTGTGTTCTCCACTTTCCATAGAGGTACTGAGGTAAAGCATGCAAACACGTGACAATCTATCCTGTCCCTTCTGCCGTCTCAGCTTTCTATGTTTTCACTGAAAACCTCAGCAGGAGGTTTGAGGTGTGCATCTGTAGGTGGTCTGCTGGCTGCAGTCCCTCATGGGTGCCCATCCTGCAGCTTGCCCTCCACAGGCCGCAGACCCACTCTGGCGTGGGTCGTCCATGGGCTGCAGCCCCTCAGGTGCATCCCTGCCCTGGTGGAAGTCCTCCGTGGGCCCCGTTCCCTCGGGGGGTGCCTGCCCTGGTGTGGGTTGCCCACAGGCGACATTCCCTCAGGGGTGTTCCTGCCCCAGTGTGGAACTTGAAGTGTGATGATGATGATGATAGTATTATTATTATTTGTTATTACTATTTTTCCTGCTGCTTTTTTACATCAGATTCAGAGCTGGCTGGTTCTGGTTCTGACTCGCCCAGGACAGTTCAGAGCCTCCTTGTCACCACTGCAGCCCTCTGCCTCTTCACAAGAAATTTTGAGGCTTCTTGAAGAAGCAGGGTACACATATGATGCTGTGTTGCCTTGCTTCCCCGTGTATGTTCATTTCTAATTATGGTATTTTGTCTTCCTAAAGCTGTAAATTTAGAATATTTCTGGGCTACTGAGGTTGCATTTTTCCATTTTTAGTCCAGTATAGAAGATACAGTAATTTTTACCCAAAAGGAGCATATTGAACAAATCAGGGATGTAATACTGTGTATGTAATGTAACAATAGGCAAGCAAATATAATACTTCCACCTATAATTGTTTTTTATAGGCAACTGAAATCAAGACTTTTATGACCATGTCAGGCAATCTTTTACAACTTGGCCAAATTCAAACTATTTGGGATTAAGTTTTCCATGTTAGGCATCTCTCTCACGCTCAGTTATTTTGAGACACACAGCTAAAACTGTGTAGTTGATTTGAAGAGTGACATGATTAATTTTTGTACCCATTGTTAAATGATTTATGTCATAGTTTTGTGATTATTTTTATTCTTGCTGAAGTGAAGCCCTAGCACTCAAAGTTAGGAAAGCCAGTGAATGTTTTTAGTGTCAGCTCATTGGACAAAGGTTACATTTTTCTTTCTTTTTTTTTAATTTAAAGACTCAAAGTACATACTAACAGAAATTATGAAACAATCACTTTCTTTTATAGGCTTGTCCACCTGTCACACTGGATGTCTGCACATTAAGAATGCAGCTTTTTATAGGACCAAGAGCTATCTGTCATTTCAAAAACCATATAATTCTTTTAACTAAGGCAGACACAGAAGATATTACCAAAAGAAGAAAGCCTACAAGAAGAATGATGTAAGGATTTGTGTCTTTTGGAGAGATGGTATTTATAGCTCTGTGCTATAAATAGTGCTGAATAGTGGGTGTTGGATTTGAAGTTCCTCTGTGGAAAAGCTGTTTGGAAAGAATTCCCTAGTTAGTGCATGAGAACAGAAATCAAGCATTTATTTTTTCCAGTTCTACTGTACTAACTGACATAGCAGAAATGAGGATAGGGTCACAAATGCTTGAAATAAAAGTAAATTACTCAAGATTGTAAAAAACCTAACTCTCATAAGTAATGTTAAAACAACATCACTAAGAAAGTATCTGCTACCCAGAAGAAAAACTGTCTTGAAAACCAAAAATATATAGGAGTACTGAAGCTACAGGCTAACAAAAGGTGTTGTAGCACAAAATGAAAATGTCTTGTATTTGGCTGGGGGTTCTTTCCAAGAAAAGGGGAAAAGAAAAAAAAAAAAAGAAAAGAGGAAAGACTGAGAGACCTGGGGCTCTTTAGCCTGAGAGGAGGAGGCTGAGAGGGGACCTTATCAACACTTCCAAATATCTAAAGGGCGGGTGTCAATGCGATGGGGCCAGGCTCTTCTCAGTGGTGCCCAGTGCCAAGACAAGGGGCAAAGGGCACAAACTGGAGCATGGGAAGTTCCATCTGAACAGGAGGAAAAACTTCTTTACTCTGAGGGTGACAGAGCACTGGAACAGGCTGCCCAGGGAGGTTGTGGAGTCTCCTTCTCTAGAGACATTCAAAACCCGCCTGGCCACGTGCCTGTGCGACCTGCTGTAGGTGAACCTGCTTTGGCAGGGGAGTTGGACCAGATGATCTCCAGAGGTCCCTTCCAACCCCTACAATTCAGTGAGTCTCTGAAAAGTTATGAGCATCGCTATAGTAATCCATGACAAAAGAAGAATTGGACTTTGGCCCAAGGTACTCTTGTGACATGTGTGTAGCCAGAGGCATTTGACTTTTTATCTATTTCCCTGAGAACTGCTATTCCCATTCTTTTTTGAGGGCTTTTCATAAGAACAGCTAAACAGCTATTCAGAAATTACATTTATTAAAGTCAGTTCCAAGTTCATTAATAAAAGTGGGACAGCTATATTTGATTGAAGAGCTATTTGAACCAGTATTTCTTAAAGCTTAGAACAGACATTATTCAGGAGAAGATGAGGATAAGCCCGTCAAGGAGAACAGTAGTTCAAAATACCGGAATATTTGTGTATAAAGCACAGTTTCTTCTGCCAATTGTGTTGTTTCAAAGATTATAGTTGGCATTTGAGGAAGATACACTTTTTGCCTTCTGTAAAGAACATAAATTGAACAAATACCGGTCTATTTAACACTGTCATTGAAAATAAAGATGTAAATATCCCAGAACAGTTAAAACCAAAAAGAAATCAGAACAAAGAGTGTGTTTTCCTACAGTGTTTAAGCCTTAGGGCATTACAGACCTCACCAATGTGTTAAAGTAAAAGCATACAGATATTTTTTTACGTCATGTCTGGCGAACACTTTTAATAGAGCTGCAGAGGCAAATGTGCAGTAAGTCTTTACAGAAAGTAAGGAAACATCTTAGATGATTTGAATTACTTCATGTAAGTATCTGATACTACCTGGTGTTAAGCCTGGGAGAATATGTAGTAGATAGTTTTGATGATGTTCCTGGTGTATGAACATGCCTATCCCCATTTTGTTACTAGCCATTATGACTTAAATTCACAGCTTAACTGTCAAGCATTTACTAGCCTGCAAACATACCTGTCTCTGCATTTAAATTACCAAGTGAGGGGGGTTTTCTTGGCTGCATAGTGTTTATTTGAACACTGACAACTCTTTTCCTTCTCTCTAGTTCCAGAAAGGCTGACAGCATCAAATCCAGAACAAATTCTGAGTCAGAGCCTGGTTGGAATTTATATATTATAAACACTGTCTCAACCATTCAGCTTTACAGAGAAATGGTACTGCTCAACTCCTGCTTTTGTTGTTTGGTGACTAAAAGTAAATACTGTTAATTAATGTCTGATATATGTTGTTGTTGAATGTAACATAACGTGTTTCTCATGAACAGCCCATAATCCTATTTCAAAGGGCTGCTGCCCTCATTAGAATTGTTCCTCTGTATTCTCAACTTTTGCCACCACCCTGAGTATGTCCTGTGTCTGTTCTAGGTAGATTATAGTAGAACTTACGAAAATGTAAAAACTGAGAGTTGCATCCATCTTCTAAGTGAGGCTCACTTACTGGTCAGAGCAGCTATAATGGACCCTCATTTCCTTAAATCAGATGAGAAAGAAGAACTTCTAAGAGCATTCAGAGAAAGTTGTGCCTTCTTAGGAGACTGCTACAGCAGGTATGTTATAGATGTCAAAGTGATACAGGTCAGCTTTTGTTTCCAGTAATGTAGCCTTAAAATCCGTAATTTTCTGCTGCTTTACATTAGTATTGCATATGTAATATGAATCTTTACCTTCTATAAAAACAGCTTTATCTGGTCATCTCTTCAGTATCTTGGTTGTTTTTATTGTCATTGAACACAGAACGCATTACGTTGAATATGAGCTATGTATTGGCATATAGAGGTGTGTGTGCGACTTGTTTGATGTATTGTTTTCGTACTTAGAAACAGCGATGGTGAAGGTGTTGCCCTTAGTTGTTTTTGTTCTTTTTTTCCTTCCTTTCTGTTGCCTTCAGGTTTGACACAAGGGATTACCACCTTGCTTTGCCGTACTACAGAATGTCAGGTTTATCCACGACTGAAGTTTTAAAGAGAATAGTTTCAGAAGGTGATGAAAAGCAGACGTATGAGAAAGGATTTATATTTTACTTAACTCACTCTCTTAATGAAGACTTAAATGAAGAATTGAGTAAGGTGGAAACAAGTTTGGTTTTTTCTTCATCTGTTGATTTAGTTCTGATTTTAAGAACCGAGTATCAAATTTTTATTAAATTCCCTTTGAAAATACTGAGCTGATTATTTACTTTTACAGTTGTTCTTTTTCACATTTTTTATTTTCCTGTTTTTGTTGACAAAATAGCAAGCAGCGCCTGTGATGCTTTGGGCTGCTTTCAGGCAACATATTACGGGTTTAGCTATTGTGATGCATGTTGCTAATGGTCTGGTTCCCACTTGCATGCAGAGATGCTTCTGTTTTAGGAAAGCTCTGCCTCAATTTTGTTTTATCTCCCATTTCTGTAACAGAACAGTTTCTTTGAACATTGACAAATTGTACAGCTTGGTAAAACCAGTTCACTGTGGTAGTGGATGTTCTCCTAGCACCCCAGAATATGGGTTGAATCACTGCTGGTTAAGAGAACCTTTACTTTTACCAGCAGGGAGGAAAGAGGCAGGAAAGGCACTGTGATTTGATAGCTAAGCTGTACTTGTCTGTTTTATAAAAACCAAAACCAAACTGCAGTACTTTCATATGCCATAGAAGACTGTATATCTGGAAAGGCCTGAACTGTCAAATGGCTTTTATTTCAATAGGAATCAGCAAATAAAGTTCTCCAGATATTCTATCTTGCCGACCCTGTGCAGCTGCCCCATGTCCTCTGCAGCCCCTGCATGAGAAACGTATGTCCTTTGACAGCTGTGGAGTATCTTCAGAAAGTAAAAAAGATTATGCCATCAGTGGTCCTGACACTTACCAAAGCTTTCATGGCTCTGAAAATGGGAGATCTGGCAATGTATGAACATGAGATGGACTCCTATAAAGAGGTAAAGTATGCTGAAAGCATGAACTGTTCATGCTTTGCAAAGCCCAAGTCAGTAGGTTTGGCTTGTGGTTGTATTTGACTTTCAGTCACTCCTGTTCCTCCTCATATGCTGTATAGGCTCCACTGAATGTCTGCAGTAACAGTAGAATCGAGGGACAGCATACGCTGGGGCTGTATTGTTTGCCCTGCAGGTAGGGTAGCCTTCTCTTGGCAAAGCCTTACCAAATAAGCAGAAGTTTTTTGAACTTGTTCATTCTTACTGGGGTGTATTAAGCTCTGCAGAGCCAGTGCTCTTCAGCAGTATGGCAGGGTTGATCGTAGCATTTTTGCACCCCTCCACCTGTAATTAATATGTGATACGCCCATGAAAACACCATCTGTATGCGAACAGCCCTTAGAAAATTGCCTTTGAAGCAGGATGTCCATGGTGCGCACAAACAAAAGTTTCTGTATACAATTTCCCATCTCTTTGATGTGGAACCAAAGCAGTTAACCCTTACTAAGATCAGAACCTACTTCAATGCTATCAAAGTAAGGATTCCACATCAATGGGGGAAAAATGTTAGTGAAGCAGTCTCTGCCATAAATGTTCACATGTGGTTTTAGACTGAGTCTAGTCTGTAAGTTCTTGTTAAGGTTGATCAGGACTGTTGAATATTCAAAGGTGAAATACAGACTGTTTCTGAGAGTGAGATACTGGAGGTCTTGGAAACTTTTGAAATAAACTGATAGCTGTTGCAGTACTTCAGTAGGAGAAGTCCTGGAGAGTCTTCAAAGTTGGCAGTTTCTGAATTGCAAGGTGGCAACTGTGGAGAGCTGTTTCAACAATCATTCAGCGCCACCTGCTTTCTAACCATTTGCAGCATGATCAAGTGAAATTGCCACCTTGTGAGCAAACGTACAGATTCCACTGCACAAATGTTATTAAGAGAATAAGGTGGCTGGGGTTTGGGGGTTGAGTGTTTTGTGTTGGTTTTTTTTTTTTCTTTTTAATCTGACCTATTAAAAAATGTTCTGTTGCACCTCACCTCTAGAAAGCATTTGTTTGCAAAGTAGAAAAAAGTAACACTTTCAGAAAGATAAAGAAAGGAAAGATAGTTTGTATGCATAGCAGGGTGAAGTCCGAATTTTCCTCCTAGATCTGCCTTGTATTTCCTGTGTAATTCATTTGATCTGCTTGGGCATCATTTCCGCGGTGTCTTTGAAGCGGAAATAGTATCTTGTCATGCTTACCTTCAAAAGCACTCAGATATCCAGAAGCAACTTACTGGTGCATATAGTGCAGCACATTTTGATCACTGTTTCAGGGGTATTTTCAAAATAAAAACCACACTTTAGCAACGTAGTCTACTGAAATTTAGCAGAGTAATGTATTGACATTTCAGCCAGTGACTTTTCAAAACACTGTGTGTATTGAATATCTTGGATGTCGTAGTGAAATCTGTCTTATGTGCACAGTGACTCCAGATTTCAACAGTGTGTTACTTTCAGTGTTCAGTCAAATGGCTTGTTGCTCAGGAGTCACTGCTCTGGCACACGGTTTGGAGCTTGGTCTCTGGAGAGCTATTCTATAAATTGTAGGAAGGGTTTATTTCCTTTTCTTCATTTCATCTGTCAGCTTCACTGCCTGAGGAAATACTGAGTTTGCTGAGTCGAACCACATGTGGATTGAATTCCTTACCTGATTTATATCTGACTGTTCATAGACAATACTGGCTTGTGGCTTCATCGGACAACCAAAACTCTTGAGACAGCACAAGGAAGGAACTGTTACGCCAACTGAGTTTGCTGTTCACCTGAAGGAGATGCAGCCTGGTTTGCTGGTGGCTGCCACTGTGGCCTTACATGAGAACAGTAAAATTGAACTGGAAGAAGCAGATACCTTTTTCAAGGTTGGCATGCGATCATTTTTTGCTTCTATTTTTCTCATAGTGATGGTGTTACAGGTATGCAAAGCAGCCTTGGTTGCTCCTTCATTCACATTTCAGCATTTCTTCAGGAGGAGGGAGATGAGGGCTGGATATATTCTGGTCGTGGTAGATGACTATAGAGTCAGAAACTGGACCTTCTGGAAAAAAACAGTGGTTAAACCAAGCAAAAAAAAAAAAAAAAAATCTATTAAGTTCTTTGATTTGACCCTGTCATTTGAATGGAGAAATACCACGATCTTGGACATCCTTCAATGGCTTCCTAAGGCTACTGACATTTATCAGAATTTAGATAAATCGCTTCCATAAGCTCCTTTTGAAGAAATCTTTAGGATTGAAACATACTTCTAAAGAATCAGGCTTAAATACGAAGGTGTATAACGTTCCGATGTTCTGTATAAATTTCTGAAAGAAGAGTGAGTCTCTGCAGTTTATGAGAAGAAAGATACTTGGAATAGTTTCTCTGGTGTCACTGAGGTTTTCTATATTTAGATGGGGAACAGACAAACCTTTTTTCTTTTCTCTGCAATGAATAACATTATTTGGATTAAAACCATGTATTCCTCAATGTAGGTATGTTGCAGTTTTATATCTGTTACGGTGAAAGACCTGTATCAGAAATACCAAGTCACGAAAATCAAATTAGAACAAGCGATGGTGTTTAAAGCCAGCTAGAAACCAAGTAAAAGTCCTTTTTGCTAACACACCCGACCTTAAAGCATCTCCCTTGTGGGTCCTATCATTATACCTAACTGAGCTACGCAGCATCCCTTATCATGGCCTTTAAATCCTTCTTTCAAAGACATGTGCTTGGCTATTGGCATATCTAAAATTCTCCGAATTAGCAGTCTGTAAATACTTGCTGACAGTGTGCTGATGTTTCTGGCAGTGGAGTAAATCTTGAAGAAGAAATCAGACCTGTCATTTAGAATTGGTTACCTGAAAAATCATTCCATGAACTTTTTACTTTGTGTAGCGCTCTATTATGTAGAATCACATCCATTCGAAATATATCAAGACCAAAAAGGAACCAAAATTCTGCTTCTAGTAAAAGTGAAAAACTTTCTCCTGTCTCTTCTAACTTCTGCTACTAACAGTTACCATAGTCTGTGCTAACTTGCTGCTCTCTAACATTTTTGTTCTTAGATGTTGTGTAGTAACAGTGAAAACACTATTCCTCAGCTCTTGGTGGATTTCTGGGAAGCTCTTCTTGTAGTGTGCTCTCAGGAAGAAATACTTCAGGAGCTTTTACTGAGGGTTACTTCTCAGTATGTTTGGAGAATATCAAAGAAACAAGTTCCTGAGACTAAGCCATTGAAAACAACAGAGGATCTGGTAAGTAAGCCACTCAGAGGGAGTTTTGTGACTGCATTGTCCCTCCAATCCACATACTGTCCTTCATATTTTAAATCTGGACAGCGTATCTCTTAAAAGAAGCAAGACTGAAAGCAAATAAGGTAGTGTGCTGTTACCAAATAGGTATTGCTGGCTCTGGGGAGCCCTGCCCTTTGGGGACATTTGCAAATATCCTTCCAACAGGAACCTGAGCTGTGGATAGAAATAAGGGATAAAGTGAAACAATGAGAGTTTGTCAGGTGGAGTGTTTGCGGTTTTAAAAAGCTGACTAAATTTTGAATGATGAATCGTAAAGGATTCTGAATGGGAAATCTGAAATACAGCATTAAATAGAAGTTTCCAGTTTATTTGTTACTAAATTGTATGAACCAGAAGAAAGAGTAGCTGCTATTCTAAATTGTGCTGTTTGAGAGTAAAATTTTCTTCAGTTGTGGTGGGTTTCACATAAAACACTGTCACTAACAGAAATATTTCTTTTATTGCAACTTAATTCTTTCTTGTATAGATAAACTCCTGTAATCATTTTGGGTTGATTTTCCCGTGGGTAACTTGCATAATGTCAGTGGCACCTCCATCTGATAAATATTACCATGAAGATATCTCAAAACTACAGGTATGAAACCCTTAAACCTTACTGTTCACAGCACAGATCCATTCTGCAAATGTTTATGTATGTATGAACGAACAACTTTCTCTAGCAGACTGCCCTCCTCCTTCCACCCCAGGTTATCTAAGTTGAACTAAAAGGCCCATTGAAATGATGGAAGGAAAAAAACTTGGAGAGATATGTTGGCCACAATGGTATTTACATTTGCAGTCCAACTCTAAACTTTCTTTCTCAGTTCTCAGTAACATTTATTAAAGGAAGTATTATTTCAAAATTATTTCAGTAAGTAAAGGCTTCTGTTCCAAGGTTATGGTTAGCATTTTTTTTGCAAAGTTTGTCTTAAATCCAAACAATACTTCTTGTTCTTGTCTTCAGTCTCTTTTATGTAGTCAGTCAATCAATATAGCTTCAGCTCTGCCTGTCTTGGAGCCTCTGCTAGAGGCTGGTAATATCGGCCTCACGATCCGTGTTCTCTGCAACACTCGTCTGGGCCAGTACGAGGAGGCCATTGACGAGCTTCTCAAAAGGTGTCCTGATGCAGCTGTGCCATATGCTCAGCATGAGCTGAAAGGTGACAGTCAGGTGAGCTGCTTCCGTTAAAGTTGTTCATTATTTTTTTTTGTTGGGTTTTTTTTTTTTCCCCTAACTAAAATGCTGTTGTGTGCAGATGGACTCTGGATGGATCAAACAGCCCAGCTTTCAGACAAAGTAAATTTCTTAGCTTGCTTTGAAGCTCTTGCTTGGCCTTTGAATTCCATAACTCAGTCCCCACTAATTTCAGTGGGGTTTTAATGTTGGGGTTTTTTTCCCAGTTTCTTTTGTGACTTCTTGTATTCGTTCTAGAACATTTAAAGCATAGTCTGCCTCAGGAAAGGGAGAGCAGTATGTTCTTTTTCCACTGTAAATGAAAAACTAGCTAGTTTCCTCACTAATCAGTGTTCTAAATTGTTTGACAGTGTTGAAGTATAATGTGAAATTTTAGTGATAACTGACAAGAGAACATGGTCTTTCAAATACAATCACACTTAAATATGTTCTTCCTATGTTCTAGTGACATCTTCTGACCTTACAACATCAGAATGGTACTGGTGCACTAGTGGAAAGATTATGTTCTTTATGTCCCATTTTCCCCTTAGGCCTCTATACAGTTTTAATTTTGGAACGGATTTTATTCCAGTGTTCCAGGAGTACAGGAGTTTACTTCCATTGCCCATCACAGCTACTCAATTAATTGTACACAGTTTTGCTGACCAGAGTCAGCAAAGGTGATCCTCTGCCAGATGGATGTACTAGAACTTTGTGCAAAACCACATTTTTGCTTCTTATTCAGATCTGAAAATAGTTTCTTTGTTTGTTTCCACATTAGTTATAAAGTTGAATGTGAGGTTGCATACTGAATCTGAACGCAGGTAGAAGAAAAGAGTTTACCACGTTTGAAAAAGAAGAAATCCCTTCCCCTCTCTCCATTCTTACCAGCAAAATTATACACAAAACATAATCACCACTACAGCTCTTGGAAGCAGACAGATTAGGTCAGGAGACAGAGCAGTGTTCTTGTAGAAATGCTATTCACCACTTTGCATGGAGCTGTTTGGAGGGAAACCCCCTTCATTTTCTGACTACATCAGTCTGGCATTATTGTTGATGTTGTTGTTGCTGTTATTATTGGGGTTTTTATCTATAGCGGCACTAGGGGGCACTGTGTAAAAAAGTTCGAGTAGAAAAAGATCGCACTGAAAACTGAAAAATACAATGTGTAAGAACACTGCATTTCAAAGCATTATATAAATTAGTAATTGAGTTCATCATAACCTACCTGTATTTGTACACATCTGAGCTTAGTTTAGTGTATTTTTTAACAGATCTCTCATACTCTTAATTGCAGGCCTTGTTAATTTACACTTTTGCTGTGGTTTTTTTGTGGGTTAGGCTGTGTGGTGGAACAAACTGCTTCCTGAACTTTGCAAGAGAACCAGACTTAGTGGACATGACTGCCCTGTTCTTATTTCATCACTGAAAGGTAAATCAGTTCATTGCAACTCAACTCCAGAAGCCTTGTACGTCATCTGACATTCTAAATACTGTTCAGGCTAAGGACTACTGCTGTGATAATTTGGAAGAAAAAGGGGACCTTTTTCTATGGTTAGAACTAATACAGCTCAGCAGGCTTTCTAGTTATTAGCACAGGATTCTGCAATGTGCAGTATGTTGCCTCATTTGTATGGAAGACAGTTAAATTGTTGGAATTGTATTGATTCTATATAGGTCAAGAATAGGCACCATTAAAAAAACCTTACTAAATAGAAATCATAGATAGCAATTGGGTTTTTTTTTCTAGGCTAAGTAACCATATGGTTCTAAGCAATGACAGCTAACAGGCTACTATTGATAAGCCAGTGGGCGTTACTACTAGAAGTAGAGAAACCAACCCTGGTAGTTGATGTAGTCCTGTTGTTACATGTTTGTAGAAAGTCAGTAATACTGTGTATAGCTGAGGGGTTAATGTGTTTGCTTTGACAGAATGAGAAGATTGAATATAGCACATATATTTTTTTTTAAAAATGCCAGCGTAGGGGCCTGCGGGCAGAAGAACAGCATCACAAGGTTGCATTGTGCAGCACAGGTTGCCACGCTCTTATCATGAAGTTCTAGTTTCTAGTGCTAGTGGTTTTTCTCTTGAAACACTGTTTTCATGGAGGAACGGTGCTGTAATCGCTGAAGAACATAATGTTTAAAACAGCTTCGGCTGAGGAGCTGCTTGCAGAACATCTCCTTTTACAGATGGTGCTGAGTCAGGGTGATAGTGCAGATTCCTAGGGCTTCCTTTGCATTTGGTACCAAAACATGGGAAGTACTAGATCAGACTTCTGTAAGCATTAGTGCCACATGTAGACCTGATGAGCCAAGACAGAGGTATGGTTTTAATCTAAGACAGAATTTCAGTTTACTTTTGAGATTTCCTGTAGTTGTATTTGCTCCCAAAGGGGGGTGTGTCTCAAATTTCATTCCAGTTGCAATATTTAGATAATTTGATGACTTCAATTAGTAATTACATTGTTAATGTTTTAGCATTTCTTTGTTCTAAACCCGAAATTCCTAACCAAGATTTTCTCCCCTGCTCTGAGCAGAGACTTTATCAGTTGTTGCAATGGAACTTGAACTAAGGGATTTCCTCAGTCTTCTACCAGAGGATGGAACTGCAGCATTTTTCCTGCCACATCTTCTTCACTGCAGCCAGAGGAAGCTGCTGACCTAAAACAAGCAAAGTCCACTCTGCACTCAACTACAAAGAATGTGCTGGAATAAAAAAGTAAATGAAACAAAGAGTAGAATTACATATAAGGTACCATGGGACTCCCCTCACATAAATCACCTTATTTCTCAGTTGAAATCTTATGACAACTATTGAATGATAGCTAGTTCTGAGGCAAAGCATCTGTTTTGAAGCTAATACTATTACAGCCTGACAAAAGTCAGGAAACCAGAATTCCTGCCAGGTAGAACTGCATGGTGGTTGGACTGGTGAAAACAGCTGTTCAACTGTTAGGCAGGATCGCTTATCTTCTCAGTGAGGGTGAACTTGTGGCCAGAGCAACTAGAAAATACAGACTATCCAGTACCATGGGACATACAATTAAAGCAGGGAGTCAGTCTTAATTCTGTGTTAGTTGCTTGGATCACTGACCTGGGGAGGAGTTTAAGCTCAGGCACGTGTCTTAACTGAATGAGTGAAAGTGCGTGACTTTCTCTTCCAGGTGGAATTGGGCCCCACTTACTTCATTTTAATTACTATGCAAGTGTTAACACTGACAATGATTCTATTTAGCAATTCACAAAAAAGGACTGTTAAGTAAGTCAAAGAGAAACGGAAGTGTTCCCAAGGCAGTGTTCCCAAGGCGGGTGGAAGATACAGACTAGTGCTTGCTTGCTGGTTTTTGTTTGCTTTCTTCTCCTGTGGTACTTGGTCAGTAGACAAGTATTTGAAGTATCACTAGGCCACACAGCCAGCTGAAAACTCTTATTTCTTCCAGATTTTTTGGTAAGCGTCTCGGGTACTTCTGCATGTATGTACTGATGTTTGTCTTTCTTTTGGGCAGAAAGCATCCTTCTGTTCTGTTCCTTCAGCTGGAATTCAGTCATAATAAACTGTCACAATGCTTTTGACCTTCTTATGAATGCAGTTTGGTTTTCTGAGAATCTGCCACAAATAAAACAATGACTCCATGATCCCATAACCATTTAAAGGCCTAGTTAGCTGACATTGACTCTATCAAATCCATTTTTACTGAAGCTGTTACTTAAACCTGTAGAAGTGAGTCATAAGAGATCATCTGTATCGCTACAGTGCTACATAGATAAGTTAAACTATTTTTCTTTCTCCTTTTTTTTTTTTTTTTTAAATCTATGTAGCATGCCTGCTACAGCCAAAATCAATGATCTAATTTACTAGTAGGGATTATGCTGGTTTCAGTAGAATCTTTCAACCTTAACAAAGGCCAAAGCGATTTAGGCTTGTTACAGAGAAGCAACTTCCTTTGTTCTGGTAGCTGTAAAGCCCAGCGTTTTGCTTTGCTTGCCTGTCCCATACGTCCCTCCTGCTTGTTTGACACAGGTCTAACGAATGTGGAGTTTGGCTATTAAACCACAACTGGATAGCACGACAATACCTGCTCTTACTGGTTTCATTTTTGACCAGCGTCAGTCGTGCACTAATACTGCTGCTCCCATCTGTCAAGAAATGCTTAAATTTGCCTAGGTCTGCACTACATAACTAACAGCAAAATGATTCCACTGCAGGAGTTGTTTAAGACTCATCAGAGCAAACTGGCACCAAATTTGCCCCTTCACTGTCTGCATTTCATCAGGCTTATTTCAGCATAACTTCGCCTATTTTGTAATTATTTTCATAGCAGAAAAACAGCTGGTGCAACCATGATCCCTCAGCTGTTGCATCTTTTTCATTCGCTATCTTGAAAGATGTTACTGGATAAAATTATAACTCAATAGAAATAATGGAACTATTTTGTTGGCTGTTCAATTATACAATAGTATATATATATATTTTAAGTGTGAATCTATGGATAAAGCGATAAGCAAATTCCTGTTTTCCAAGCAATAACCGCTAACGTATCTGACGAGTAAAATGTGACAACAGATACCTAAAATAAAGTTATTTACCAAGTTAAAAAAAAGGAAAGTACATCTGTGTTCCTCATCAGTTAAATAACATGCATTATCACCACTTAGAATATGTTTAGCTTGCAAGATACTAGTTTTATTTAGAGAAAAAGCTATTGGTAAACTGTTACATCCATTCAGCTGTCTTACCCTATGGCCCTTCTGTTAGCCGTGGGCCACCAAATGACATCTTCCAGAACATAGGTGGAAATGACTTGTCCAGGAGATCATATTTCTCAAGAAATGCTTCACTGAAGGTAGACCTTGGAGAATCACCGTGGTAAAATGTTTTCATCATTCCAGTATGTCTGCCGTACCTTTACACTTGAACTGATTGAATAATCTTGGGAACAAGGACCGTTTGTCTGTGAGGGGGGAAATAGCTTTTGTTACATGTATTTCATCAAAAGAATAGCCTATGCATATGGACAACAGGGTCCAAAAATGAGATCGATGGATCCCAGTACCTTCTACACATTGTTGGATTTAAAAACAGCTTTAAAATGCACTGAAGCATACATTTTAATGCACTTTAGATGGCTGATTATGAAAAATCCAACATGCTGCTTCCAGAAGTCTGTTTCTGCATCTCTTTCTATGTACCCTTAAGTCAATCTTTTTATTATCTGTGCGAGTTCGGCAAAATGTATTCTGTAAATCAGAATGGATTATAAAATAGAACTAGATTGTGTTTAATGCTCCAGCTGTGTGCATTTTATAGTTGTGTGTGTGTGTATATATATATACACACATACATATACACACACACACACGCACAAACACACACTTACCTGCACACATTTTGAAATGTTCCTACTGTTCTCTTTCTGTCAGTGAACTAAGGCATACCTATTGTGCTCTGTCTTTTGAGTATAGGAAAGCGTTGCTTTTAAACTTTGTAGGAACAAGGGCTTTTCAAAATTCTTCAAGACGCAAGTTTTTCAAAGCTAAATGTGCTTTAGAAAGAAAACGCTATTTTAGTTTCATAGTACTTTAACTGTCAGGGATGATGCCTTCAGGTTTATTTGCCAACTTCTTTTTGTTTCAAACAAAGATTGAGAGGGAGACTGACAGTACTGGCACTTCTTGGGTACAGAAATACACTGTCCCATGAAGGAATCTTTTTAAATCAAAATCTGTCATTTTAATTTCATTGTCGGGAAGCTGAAGCAATAGTCAGTTAACATCCACTCCTTTTGCTACTTCTGTTTTCTGAGCAGCAGTGCTGAGGCAGGTATGATCAGGTGGCTTGCAACATTCTGGCCTCCAGCCATCAATATTAAGCCCTGAAATATTTCTGGACACCTGACCTGGTTCCAAGTACACTGGCCTGTCTGAGCCCCGTTCTGCATCTTTAAACGTAACAAACATTACTGAGATAGAGAAGCTCCTACCTTCCTGCGTGGGGAGCACTGTGTAGGTTGCTTCCATGCCTGCGTGGATGTGGTCAGTGACGTGGCAGTGTAATAGCCAGGTTCCAGGGTTCTGCGGGGTCATTTCCACAGTTTGAAATGTGCCAGGGAACAGATCAAAGACGTCTGCCCGGTAAACCCCTGTTTGCTTCAGGGCAAAAAGAAACAACAGTTAAACAGTGTGGCATTGCCAGATGGCAGTAATTTAAGCTGCCTTTTATGCATATTCCCACCAAACTTTTTAATCACAGTAGAGTGCAGAGCCATCTACAATACGTCATTTGTACAGAAGCATCACTTCATAGATCCACTTTATGCTTAAAAGATTAATAAACGAGCAGCTAAGTGGAAGTGAAGAATTACAGTTGTTGTTTTACCACAGCCATGAAAATTCACAGCTGCCTTGTGCAAGCAACATGTGAGGTCACCGGTCAGCAAAGGCTCCTGGCAGGTGCTTTCCGTCTCTTGTATATTGATCAGATACAGGTTTGGGACATAAAAACTTTATGGTCAAATTACAAGTCCTGCTTAATATTGTAACATCTGACTTTTCACCAGAGATTACAGTCCATGGCACTTGATCTACCTCTCATTCTTAACACAGCGAGAAATGAGTGGAAAGGAGTTATTACCTTATAGTCAAAGCTGTGGCCATGGAAGTGTGCTGTGTGAATGTCTATTTCATTGCCCATTCCCATCAAATACCAGCTTACTTTGTCCCCGACATGCATGGTCAGACCACGTAGATTTCCAAACACCTTTCCATTAATAGCTAAAACGAGGGACCAAGCAAGACAGAAAACAAGTACGATTTCGTGTATTGTTATTCGCTAAACTTCAGTACAATACAAGATTTGAGAGCCACTGCCAGGCAATAATAAGGGCTTTGAATGGTATATAAAACCAAAACAATGGGACAGCAAGTTATGAATGGATATGATTATATGCCATATTTAACCAGAAAGTAAGACGTAGTTAAAAGTTCTCTGCTGTACACCATTGCTAATATTGCAGTTCTTAAAGATCTGCATTTCCTGCGGCTCTTTGTAGAGGGTAAGCTTTATGAAGACGTGCTTTCAGGATGCATGTTGCCTTTCCAATTTATCCAGAACAGTTGTTTGCTGACATCAAATCAAAATTTCAAATTTCATTTTTCTCTCCTCAAAATTGCAATGCAGTACTGTTTTTTTTTCATAGGTTTAACAACAACGACAAAAAAGTCATTTAGTGGCATCAACAGTGTTTTCAAATAGTTTGAGTGAAATTTTTCAGAACTTCAGCCCTGGAACTGGAAATTTAGAGGGGATGAGAAGGTCAAATTTATATGCAGTACTTTCTTTATACAGTTTCCAGAGTTACATTAACTAAAATAGGAAACATACCATGCATTTTATTACTTTCAAGGAATTCCTCATCTTCTTTGTCAACAAGGTGCGGGTTGCTAGAATAGGATTTAATGTTTTCATCCAAGTACCATGACTCATTTTCATCAAAAACCATAAAAAGAAGAGCAAACTGAACTTTCTTTTCAGTGTGAAAAGATGGCAGATAATGTCTATGACACACCACAAGTGTGCCTATTAATCCACTGTATGTGTCCTGAAATTACAAATGAAAAATTATATAATTACAAGATGTGACTAAGCAGAAGCACTTCTAATGCCAGACATGAATCCTCTTACTGTCTTTACAGCTGTCAGTGTCTGGGAATAAAGGTACTGAGTGTCAGACAAACAAGGTTATTTCTTCA